CGTCTTGCTCATCTTAGTGAACATGGTATGGCTGAATTACATAAAAGAAATCTATTGCATGGTGTTAAAAGTTGTAAGCTCGAATTTTGCAAGTGTTGTGTTCTTGGTAAAAAGACTAAAGTTCGTTTCAAGACTGGGAAGCACACAACTGAAGGGATTCTTGATTATGTGCATTCTGATGTATGTAGGCCTTCCATGACATCGTCTTTGGGTGGATATAGGTATTATGTTACTTTTTTGACGATATCTCATGGAAAGTTTGGGTGTATTTTTTGAAACAGAAGTCTGGCGTTTTTTAGAAGTTCAAGCTATGGAAAGATGAGGTAGAAAACCAAACAGGACAAAAAATCAAGTGTTTTTGGTCTGATAATGGTACGGAGTACACAGATCTACAATTTCTAAACTTCTGTAAGGAGCATGGGATTAAGAGGCATTTTACAGTGCGCAAGACACCACAACATAATGGTGTTGTGGAACGGATGAACATGTCGTTGAATGAAAGAGCCAGATGTTTGCGATTGAATATGGGGCTTCCCAAACACTTCTGGGCTGAGGCTGTTAACATGGCGCGTTATCTTATCAATAGATCGCCAAGGGCATCATTGGCTGAGAAAGTTGCAGAAAAGGTATGGCCTGATCATGATGTTACTTTTGATCACTTATAGATTTTTGATTGTCCTGCTTATGTGCATGTTCCTGCTGATGAGAGATCCAAACTTGATGCAAAATCGAAGGAGTGTATTTTTCTGGGTTACAAGACAGGTGTCAAAGGATTCAAGTTATGGGATCCAATTTCGAAGAAAATTGTGATCAGTAGAGATGATGTTTTTTATGAACAGTCCATGTTGCAGTAGAAGAAAGACACGACAGTGGTGGATTTCGAGCAGTTTTCAGTTGAGAAAAATAAACTTCTCAACCGACTTCTGGTGGTTCCGCTACGGTTGATTTGCACGATTATAGTCTCGCCAGAGACAGGGTGAAACAGACGAATATAAAGCCTCCGAACAGATTGGTCTTTGAAGACTTGGTCTCTTTTACACTTACTGTTAGCAGTGATGATCCAATTACTTTTCATGATGTTGTTACTAGTCAGGAAAACAACAAGTAGATAGCTGTCATGGTTGAGGAGATGGAGTCTTTGCATCACAATCGTATATGAGAGTTAGTTCACCTTCCTGAGGGTAAGAAGTCGATTGGTTGCAAATGGGTTTTTCACAGCATAAATGAGTTGATTATGATGAAATTTTTTCTCCTGTAGTCAGGTACACTTCAATCCGAGCAATATTTCATTAGTGGCTAGTTGGGATTTGCATTTAGAGCATATAGATGTTAAAACTATTTTTTTTGCATGGTGATTTAGAGGAGCAGATCTACATGCAACAGCCTGAAGGTTTCACTCAACCTAGAAACGAGCATTTAGTTTACAGATTGAAGAAATCTTTGTACGGGTTAAAACAGTCTCCGAGACAATGGTACAAACGGTTTAACTCCTATATGATCAAGATTGGCTACAAGCGATATGAGAATGATTGTTGTGTCTATGTTAAGAGCCTTGATGATTGTTCTTTTATTTTTCTGTTATTATATATTGATGATATGTTAATTGCTGCGAAGAACATGGATGATGTTATCGATTTGAAAACTTTATTGAGTCAGGAATTTGATATGAAAGATTTAGGTGCTGCAAAGAAAATTCTTGGAATGGAAATTTGCAGGGACACAGACTCAAGGAAACTATGGCTATCTCAACAGGGTTATGTTGAGAAAATGCTGGAAAGGTTTACGATGATCAGTGCAAAACCAGTGAGTACTCCATTGGCAAATCACTTTAAGCTTTCATCAGAACAGTGCCCTAAGACAGATAAGGAAGTTGAAGATATGGCAAAGGTTTCGTATTCTAATGATGTTGGCTGCTTGATGTATACAATGGTATGTACTCGTCCTGAGTTAGCTCATGCTGTTAGTCAAGTTTGTAAGTACATGTCTAAACCTGGTAAGCAACATTGGGAAGCAGTCAAGTGGATCTTTATGTACTTAAAGGGTACTTTGGGACATGAAATTATTTTTGGTAGTCAACGGGATAATCCTTTGGTTGTAAGATATGTGGATTCAGACTATGCGGGTGACTTGGATAATAGAAGATCTACGACAGGGTATGTCTTTACTCTTGGTGGAGGGACTATTTGTTGGAAGTCTACTGTTCAATCTGTTGTGGCATTATCTACAACTAAAGCTGAATACATGGCAGCGGCTGAAGCTTCAAAAAGAAGCTTTATGGCTTACTGGTTTAGTGAAGGAGTTGGGTGTTCATCAAGGTGGAGTTCAGTTGCTTTGTGACAATCAAAGTACTATTCACTTGGCTAAGAATCAGGTATATCGTGCTAGAACTAAGCATATTGATGTAAGGTTTCAAGAGATCAGAGAGTTGGTTGCATCTGGAGAGATTTTGTTTCAGAAAGTACATACTGATGAGAATGCCGCTGATATGTTCACCAAACCAGTTACGACAGCCAAGTTCATGCATTGCTTGGACTTGTTGAATGTTTCAAGTTGTTAAAGAAGTAAGGTAACCCAACCAACATTGAATGTTTCCTAAGGTGCAGGATATTCGTCAAGGTGGAGATTTGTTAGGTATGACTCATAAATATGTACCAGGGTTTATTTATTATAAAAAGGAGATATAACCTAAACCTATGTGATATTAAATGAAAAACTAGCGTCGCCTAAGGCACCGAGGACGTAAGTACATTGTTGTACCTCGTTAAAATTCTTGTGTTCTTTCTGTTTTCTTTACTCGATTATTCAACACCACCTCTACGTTAAAATTGACCCTTTTATAACCTGTTAATTTATTAAACTAAAATGCTACTACTTATCACAAGTAGAACTTTTTTCTATACAAAATGTATCCACCATTTCATACTTAAATAGTAATAAAAATACTAACTCGGTATTGAAACCATTTTTAGCCGGGTACCCAACTGGTTCCGATCCAAAAATTTTGAAAATAGGAACTGGAATCGATGTTAATAGGGTCCTTATTTTACTACCCAAAACCGAAACCGTTGGGACCGATTCCGATTCCGAAACCGACAGTTCCTAACCGATTCGGATGTCAGAACAGGGTTCCCCGTTCTTTTGCTCACCCCTATTGACTAACACATCGCATTAATCTTTCTGTATCATGTAATAGTAAAAATCTCGATTAAATTTATAAATAATTTAAAATTTTTAATTTTTCTTATCTATAATATTCGAATTCGATGTCCTATCCGTGATGGAACCGCTGTATTTTCAATTAAAGCAAAAGCAACTTTTGGATTTCTCCTACTTGGAATTGGTACACCCTTCTACAAACATTGATAAATGATGATGATTGATAAAAATGTTGCATCTGCTTCCTGTTTTTTTTGCAGCCGATTACTTAAAAAAAAATATGATTCTAATTTTGTTTTAGTCTGATCTTGAAAATGTAAGGTGTAATTCATTTAAAGAAAAAACAATTTAAAATAAATATAATACTATACAATTTTATTCAATTATAATTATTATATATCACAACGTCAAAAAAAATCATTATATATATTTAAAATTTTATGTAATATCGCATAATCCTCCGATAACTTATTATATATTATAGTGATTTTTTCATCTATCATTTTCCTTTTATTTAAGACTTTTGAGGTAGATCCATACATTCTTATTTACTAGTATAACTTTTGTTCACTCAGGATAAACTAAGAACTTTAGTTGAAATTTTAATTTATCAAATAACATGTCATAATAATTATTCGTATAGATCAATTAATTAAGTATTATATTATTATATCTATGTCATTATCATATATATTCATAAATGATGGTGGCTGGTCACATTGAATATTGTTCCTTCAATTGATTTTCAATTATTCAATTAATGGTGAAGTATTTTTATTTAAATTATACTATACGACCAAAATTTTATAAATAAAATTAAGTATTTATTATAGATGATACATGATATTTTTAATTAAAAATAATTTTGATATAATATATATATTTTTTAAATATGATCTCAAAAGTACTACATAATCATTTTTTAAATGTTTAAATTAATTAATTTTTTAATAAACCTAGGGTAAATTTAAGGTAATATTTATTTAAAGATTCAACCATTTAACAATAAACGTTTATATTCTTGACATATGCGATGCTCAAATCTGAGACCTCAAGGAGTAATAATAAGTTATTTTATCACTAAAATCGCTTGAGTCGTGCTTAAATAAATAAAATTAAACATATGTATTTGAACACATTCAAATATAACATCTCTAAAAAATATCAATCAAATTAAAAGTTTATAGATAAAATAATTAATTACAATGAAAATAGCTCACGCATATTACACTGTTGGAAATTAATATTTAATAGTTTAATTTAATACCAAATGCTTTAAAAGGAAAGTAACTTAAAACTTCAAATTAATTGCAATAGTGTTATGTTTGAATAACACAATAATAAGCTAATTTGTCATGTTGCATTTACTAGGAAGGTAATTAGCCAAATTTTTTACTTGAGAATTTAAATTTTTTAAGGGTGACCGTAATGTGTTTCGATCCATTTTTAACCTAGGATTTAGGAATAAAAATTACATATTATCATATTACTTCAAATGAGTGATTAGATTAAAAAAAGTTTAAACTTTAATGACAAAATACAAGTGAAAATAAAATTGAATAGTGAAATTTATAATTTACCCTTAAAATTATTAATCAACCAGGTCAGATTCTACTTTGGGGGATGAATTCTCTTAATCCCATTTAAAAAGTATCAAATGTTTTTTCAACTAAAGTCTCAAAACCACCCAAATGGCAATTTGTTGTCCAAAACAGAACTATATACTGCACATATCATAACAAGGTAATAGACTGAGTTGTAATTATCAGTGAACTTTAGTGGCATTTCCAAAACCTATTTCATTATATAAATCCCATTGCAGCTTTCCATTCTCATCCCCAAAGCTTTCAAGTTTCAGCGAAGAAAAAGAGACGAACTGAGCTCACTCAAACATCCTTTCAACAATGGCTATGGCATTCAAGATGGTAAATCACAGCCAATTCTTTTGATTTTTTTCTTATTTTGATTTTAATTTTACGTAATTCACTCGATTCTGATACTATAGGCTACGACCGGGATGTGGGTCGCCGACGAGTGCAAGAACTCATTCATGGAGATGAAATGGAAGAAAGTTCATCGATACATAGTGTTCAAGATCGATGAAAAATCGAGGCTGGTGACCGTCGATAAGGTCGGCAGTTCCGGCGAAAGCTATGACGACTTTACTGCATCTTTGCCGACGGATGATTGTCGATATGCCGTGTTTGACTTCGATTTCCTCACTGTTGATAATTGCCGGAAAAGCAAGATCTTCTTCATTGCATGGTTCGTCGCCTTTCTATACTTTCGTTAGTAGAACACAAGTTGACTATTTTACCCTTATAAAATGAGAACTTCATTATTTATATAAGGGTAACATGGTGATGGTGCATATAAAACATAACAATTGCCAACTTATTATTTTTTTCTCTATTGAGTTGAAAACAACCAAATAATTGAGATTCTGACGAGGAATGATTTTTTTTTACAGTTAAGGATAATTATAAGATTTTATTTGTTTAAAATCTTTCGGTTACTAATAATATATATATACTTTATAAACATAATTGTTCGAACTCAAAATATTTAAGAATAATATTCTCTTTTGTTACTAAAATTGCTCGATGAATTTATATATATTTATTTATAAAATGATGAGAATATTTAGATAAAATTCATATATATATTTTTTGATTCTAATTCAATTTAAAAGTTTTGATCAATTTTTAGTCCATTAATAGAAAATGTTTCTCATCAGAAACGCCTTTTAAAAAGTATGTCGCGTCATATACGTTTTCCTTGAAAGAATGTCGTTCTAAAAATTAATTTGTAAGAATATTATATTAAGAATTAATTATTTAGATAATATTTGGCTAAAAATGTTAGATTTACAATGGTGATGGATTAATGATCATTCACCAAGTCAACACCCCACCTTTTTCATTTCATTTTCTTTTATAAAACCAAGTACGAATTTAAATGCTACCCACTAAATTGATGGTCCAAAGCCATTTAAATTAAATATAATAAAAATGATGGGGTTTTATTTGTTTAGGTCCCCAACTGCATCGAGAGTAAGGGCAAAAATGCTGTACGCAACATCAAAAGATGGGCTGAGGAGAGCGCTTGATGGCATCCACTATGAAGTTCAAGCAACCGATCCCACTGAGATGGCTATGGATGTGATTAAGCATAAAGCTTATTAGTAGACTAATTATAGCTGTGTAAATCATGTTTATCTCCCTCTTACTTTCTTACCTTTTCATTTTGATCACTCCAACATGTGCTCTTTTCTCTTTTTTTATGATAGGTTTGTACACATGCAATCTAATCTTCTAATTTGTAATAATACTTTGATGTTCCATGTGTGTACTGATTTGAGGACAAAGTGGCCATCAGATCCACCTTTTTCCTTCATTAAATTATTATTTTATATTTTCAACACTTTGTAAATTATTTTAGACTTGTACATTGATTCTTAAGTACTTTTAATTTTAGCATGACACTTATATTTAAATGTGTAAATGAAAGTGACTTGAAGATATTTTTTTTAAAGATTTTTTATTCGATTGTAAATATCAAATTTCTTATACTTACCAAACTTGAAGTTTAAAATAAAATTTTAACACTCCTTTCCCGTATCTATCATTGAACATGAATTAGAAATGTCACGTGAAACTTACGAAACTCCCCTTATTGAAAATCAATAAAAATTTATTTCTTTAAAAATATTATTTCTAAATAATAAACCATAATTCAATTAATTGCATAAAACACCTTTCCATTTGTTCGATATTCAAACTAAGTCCATTATCTGACAGTAACCTAACAATTCATAACTACAAACTGTAACTAGTATAATTGCCTAAAAATTGTTTATAAATCATTCCAAACTATGTCTGAGCAAGGTTTATACCAAATACTATTAACGTATGTATGCCAACTAGAAAAATCAAATATATCATATAGATGTTATTACTGATATAATAGACTTGCTTCTTGATAGGTAAGATGTCGATCACTCCTTACTCTGATCTTTGCTCTTTACCTACATGTGAAAATCATTAAGCACTAAGTATACACTTAGTGAGAAATAATCAATAATAAAAAATAAATAATAATAATAATACAAAGTATATCATATGAGAGTATATGAACATATAAAACAAACTTATACCAAGTTATTTCCAATTCAGAGATACTTGAAATCATCAAGTCATATACAAAATATTTTATGCTAAATCACTTATAATAAATGGAAAGTTTAACTTTCACACTTACTTGTCATAACTGGTACTTTTTAAAAATCTCTTTATGTTATAGCCCAAGGTATCAAATGAGATGCAAGGTATACGGGTCAGATAAGTATTCACAAATTGCACTTTTAGTGCAAGACAGATGTACAAATACTATAAACACAATATCAATGAACCAATTATCAAGAGTACCATAATCAAAATCACATCGTATTATGTACTATATTCTCAACAGCACAATGGTACCAACTTGCATCGTACTATGTACATAATGCAACTACGTACAATAGTGCCAAAATCACATTGTACTATGTACATAATGCATCTACTAATAGTCCACCTCTATGTCATGCCAACTATACCAAGGACTTGTGTACATACAATGGGCATTTCCATTAATTATCACATGCTATTCAGTTGCCAAATATGATAATATATTGAATATTTCATATAATAACACAATGGGCTGGGACGGATGCATGATTTTATGTTGGGGACGAACTTGAGCTTATAAAATTCGGGGGGGGGGGGCAAACTTGAAGTTATAAAATTTTAGGGAGAAAACAAATTTTTAGTAAAAAATACATATAAAAAATTTAAAATATATGATAATTATATATTTTTAAAGGGAGTCCGCCTTCATACCCTAAATATTTCATTTCTATATAACATGACTATATCATGAAAATATCATAAATCATTTACCATTTTGACATGAAAACAACATGTCCATAATATGATAAATATCATAATTATCATGTAAATATAATAGAGTTTACTTATCTCAAGGCTTTAAAATAACATATAACATAAAGGTAACATAAAATGCATGATTTACCACTCATTTCTCTATTATGGCAGCTTGCACTACTCTTAAAGAATCAATGTTGTGTATTAATATGCAAAATAAAATTATATTCTGTTTATTCTAATAGAAACTAGATTCAAATACAAATATAACCATATAAAGCACTATTTGTAGTTCAATTTGTACAATTTACGGTGAATTTTTCAAGCCAACTTATAGAATCTGTTTTGAGTAGAATCTGTTGCCCTATTTTTTGACCTATCATTGATAAAAAATGCATAGCTTCTAGTATACACTTCGAAATCAATATCTGTTTGTTTTACACAAAACTAGATTGACATATTAATAAAACGGTATAAGAATAACCTTCTAATAATTTTAATAGGATTTATGATTATTTTCTAAAGCTATTGTCAAGAGCATAAAATCTAGACAGATTTCATTATTTTGCATATCTAGCTTATTCATTAATTCTATTAACTTTTTAAATACAAACTTAACCTACATGCATGAATCAAAAATTCATATAATATACAAGAGTCACTTCTTACCATAGTAACTTAATCATTGATTCATTGTAAGTCAATGTTTATATTAAAATAATCACACTTCATACACTTCAAATTAACATTGAATACCAGAATTTCACTAAAATCTTATTTTCTTTCTCTCTTAGGGTTTCAAGGACCAAATTAGAGGTTTTCATATTTCAATTACAAATTTAAAAAATTTACCATCAAAATGAAGCTTAGATGATGGCAAACAACATGAACACTTCAATTTCATCAAAATCCTAAACATGTAATTGAAAACCCTAATAACCAAATATACCATGATGTGTTCACACTTAAAAATTTTGCTTGAAACAACATTCTAAAGTTGTACAACATTTAATCTTCCATGATAAACATCAAAACAAGCTTGAATAATTTTCCATAATTTTCTTCTACATGACCTAACTTTGTTTATCAACGTATCCATGAAATTCATCTTGATTCAAGTATGGAAAAGCCATATAAACAATTAATCATTAAATTCCAAGCCTTAATCTAATTTAATCCATAAACCATAGTCTTTATTTCCTCATATTCCATAGCTCATACCAACCAAAACTCTAAATTAATGGTACCAAATTTAAAAGAATTCAAAGAACAATATCATATTTCATGGTTTCACCTTAAATCTTAATCAAAATGCTTGAAAATGAAATGAAAGTGTTTTCCCACTTACCTCAGCAACCCATGGCAATGAAGAGAAAATATGGAGAAAATCTTGAAATTTCCAAAACAATTAATGTCATTTCTCATCTTTTAAGTATCGTGAATTTAAAATTCATTTTATTACAAAATGACCACTTTAACCTTAAAATCCAATGCTCACCATTATGCCACATGTCAAAATCTCCATTAAAGGGCTAACATTAATCCATTGAGTTAGTAGTTACCAATTTTGCCCTTGTAAAATTTCATAATTACAATCTTACCATTTTTATCCAACTATTTAGATTTAACATGGAAATTCAACTTAAATCCAATGGTTGATATTAAACTTATCCTTTTAAAGCATGTAAATGATAATTTTCCCTTTCTCTATCATCTAACAAAATATCTCAAATTTTCAATTCGATCCAACTATCCAAAATTTTCTCGAACATTAACACTTATAGCCTTTAACAAAAATTATGTACCATAAATCCGAGTAACACCAAAATATCATTCTTGGGGGTAAACTATTCATTCACAAGATAAAATGCCTATTTTGGGAAAATTACCTTTTTGGTCCATAATTTTTTCTAAAAAATATACTTTAGCCACCAAACTTTCAATTTATTCATTTTGGTCACTAACCAAATTTTTGGTGTATTACAATTCTCCCCATTAAGAAAAAATCATCCTTGGATTTTTGTACGTATCTGATTTAAATAGATGAGGATATGACTTTCTCATCACTTTCATATTTCTCAAGTAGCTTCATCTACTTTATGATTACTCTAAAGAACTTTGACAAATGATATTGTCTAATTTCATAGTTCTATGATTCTAGAAATTAGAATCTTTACCATTTCTTCTTCATAAATTTATTTCAGTTTTATTTCAATTTCTTCTGAAGTGACGACATGAAAAGAACCATAGCCATGCCTTCTAAGCTTCGGTGCATGAAAAACATTATGAAACTTACCCATCTTCAGAGGTAAATCTAGTTAATATGCCACCATAACAACTTTCTTCATCAGCTCATAAGGATCAATAAATATTAAACTCGTTTTTCCTTTTTTTTCCCAAAGCGTAACACCTTCTTTCAAGGTGATACTTTAAGAAATATTTTTTTAACTGAATTGATATTCAATATCTTTCCTCTTTATATCTAAAAAAACTTTTATCGATCAAGGAAACTCTTAAGATTATCTTAAATAACCTTCACTTTATCTTTGACCTCTTTGATCTAGTCATGACCGATAGTATCACGATCCTTAAACTCAACCAATTTAAAGGAGTTCGACACTTCATTTCATAAAGTGTTTCATAAGGAGATATCTTAATACTCAATTGATAATTATTGTAATAAGAGAACTCAATTAAAGGCAAATACTTTTCCCAAGAACCCTTTGAAATCAATCATACATGTCCTAAACATATCTTCCAAAATTTGAATGGTTTGCTTAAATTGTCCATCCATTTGATGATGAAAATCAATGCTAAAATTTTAGCTGATTTTCAAAGCCCTATGCAAAGATTTCCAAAATCTTGAAGTAAACATTGGATGTCTATCACACATAATCGATATGGGTATCCCACAAAGTCAAATTATCTCTCAAATATATGATTCAACATACTTATTCATAGAATTATCGGTTCAAACTGTAATGAAGCGTGCTAACTTAGTCAATATATCATATTCTATCTACAATCACCCAAATCAAATCATTTTTACTTGGTTTCAATTGTAAGCTCGATACAAAATCTATTGTATTTTCCCACTTCCACTGAGGAATAAAAATCGATTGTAGCAATCATAAAGGAACCTCATGTTCTGCTTTGACCTGGTATCAAGTTAAACACTTAGAAACAAATTCAATTATAACTCTTTTCATGTCATTCCACCAATATCAACTCTTTAAGTCTTGATACATCTTATTTCCTCCCAAATGCATAGTCAAAGGATTACAATGTGTCTCTGTATGACGCTCCCACTTCAATTCATCATCATCTAGT